AGAAATGTTCGCGGGACCTTCGGCTCGAAGATCCAAGATCCAATTGCCGCCGCTGCGCCCGCACCACGCGACGTTCCTGCGTCGTCCAACGTGGTCGAGACCACAGATCCGGACTTCTCCTCCACCGAGGAGATGGCTACTGGAGACGCTCTAGCATTGTCAAAGAGAACACGCCAAAGACGGCGTCAACGCCTTGCTCGTCAGCTGGCTAAGGCTTTGGAGCCGATGGACGGGATCCGCTATAATGTGGATCTAAAATCCAGGCAGCGCCGGGAACAACAACGGCGAACAACCAACTCCTCCTCCAAGACAGAAACGAACGAATGGGTTCGTGTCAAGAGGACCCGCTCCACCCTCGAGGAGCGAATCAAGAAGCGTCGAGCATTGCTCGCACATGCCCGAGCCCTTTTGCAGAAAGCGAAAGAAATGCAGAGGGGAGAAGCAGTGGAGAAGCCGCCTAAGCGCAAGCAAGTTTGGGTGCCAAAGACAAAACCAGCACTTAAGGCAAAAGTGGGCGGAGTTATCGTCCAGCCTATTTCAAATCCAGATCCCGTTTCCCCTGTACCCGCACCTCCGACGGAGTCAGGAAAGAACGTGGATCTCACTAAATCCAGGGGTCCTTTGAAGGGTCGCCTCGATCCTGAAGATCGAGGTAAAGCACCCGTCAAGGAGCGATTGGGACCGTTGAAAAGTCCCCAAACAACAGTCAAGACTGGGGGTCGTACTAACAAAGGGAAAGCCCCTATTACCGACCGCATTGGATTGCGAGTAGAAGTTCAAGAGCCCGTTGGACTTTCACGCTCTCAAAGGCGTAAAAGTGAACGAGTGACTCTTGGAGACGCAAATAAAGCGTCGCGCCCCCAGAGGGAAACATATTTGTTTGATGACGATGTTACACCTGGAAAGGCGTGCCAACACTTTATGGGTTGCTCCAGTTATCAAACTGATGAGCTGAACTATAGGGCTGGGGGTGCGAATAAATCCCGGAAAAGAAATGTTCGAGACACGGAGCCTCATTGTCCGTGTGCCAACATAATCAAAGCAGTATTATCGGAATGCTGATGTTCTAAAACCCCAAAAAGAGTCTCGGTGTTTGAGAGAATCTCTACCAGGGCGTTCGAGGCCAAACCAAGGCATTTCCAAAGGAGGAAACCCATTCGCCAAGATGATGAATTTTCAGAAGTGTCCGTCAATATGACCGGCAGAAGGAAATCGACGCAACACTTAAACCCAGATCAGTTTGCCGATGTATCCCGGCGTATGACTCGGTTGCGGTCAGGAATCAATAAGCGAAAGAATTACCAAAAGATGCAAAAAGGACTTCCTTTGGAAGAGGAGGTGTTAGATGCTGGTTCAGATTCTTGCTCGGCAATAGCGTCCGATGACACGGCATCGAGCGCGGGACAACCCTACGAGTCATTTATGATCAGCGCCGAACAAGTAACCAAGATGCTTGAAGAGGCCCTGGCTAAGCAGAAGGAAAGTTTCAAGTTCGAGATGGATCTGTCCATGCAGCAGATGAGGGAAATGCATGACCAGCAAATCGTGACACTGACAACTCACCAAGGAGAACCCAGTCGTCGCAATAATCCGAATCAAGATGAGAATGAACGGGAAGAAGATAATGTCAATCCTGTCAACAATAGTAACGGAGGCGGTCCCTTGAATGATAATGCGAAGGAGGACCACGTTACCTCTCCCCGAAGCCACTCGAAGACGGATACGAGTGAAGATAAGAAGATGAAGGACTTGGAGAGCAAAATTAATGCTTTAATGTCTGCTCAAGAGGTAAAGAAGACCGGCATTCCGTGTCCTTACCCGAAAGAGTGGGACTCGATCCCGTATCCAGCGAAGTTCAACCTGATCAACTTCACGCCGTTCGACGGGAAGGGCTCGCCCACTCAGCATCTAATCTACTTCAAGTCCCACTTGGGCACGATCTCCGGCAATGAAGCCTTGATGGTTCGGTCATTCGTCGGCACCCTTCGCGGGCCTGCCTTCGATTGGTATCGACGTCTTAAATTTGGAAGCATCAACAGCTGGGAGGACCTGGAGAGCATGTTCCTCACTCATTTCTTCGATGATGATGCTGAAGTGTCGATCAGGACACTCTCCGATGAGAAACAAAAAGACGGAGAGTCGGTGGATACCTTCATCAAACGCTTCCGCAATCAGGCAATGAACTGCAAGGATCCCATCACGGAGGAATTCATCTTGCAGACTTGTCATAACAATTTGTCCATTAACATCTTGGATGTTATGGGAGTAGAGTCACTCAAGACATGGAAGGATTTGAAGGCCCGAGGAGAGCAAGCCGAACGATTCCTAAAAAGGAAGAAGGCCGAGAGGAGCCAACCGATGGCTAATTCTTCGAACTCGAACTTCGCCTCTCGTGATAGGGGCAAGGCACCTGCAGCGGCTGTTGATCAAACGTCAAAACAGCAGTCCCGAAGACAGCAGAAGACTTCGGATCAAAAGGCCCAGAAAGAGTACTCGTTCAAGGACGAAGACGTTCCCGCCATCTTCGAGTCTCTTCTCGAAAACAACAAAATCAAGCTCCCGCCCATCACGAATCAGGAGGAAGCTGAAAATACTACGGATCCAAAGTACTGCGCATACCACAGGAGGATCCTTCATCCCACCAAGGCTTGCTTTACTTTAAAGAATAGCATCCAGACCTTGGTTGAAGCCGGCGTCATAACGCTAGGATAAGCCAATTAAGAACGGCGAGACTCCGACAAGTATAAGAGTATACACTGCTTCTTAATACTCCGACAGAGTATAGTATAAACTGCTCCTTCCTACACTCCAAAGAGTATATGAGTATATACTGCTTCTTAATCCTCCGACCGATATAAGAGGTTAAACTGCTTCCTGGCACTCCAAAGAGTATATGAGTATAAACTGCTTCTTAATCCTCCGACCGGTATAAGAGGTTAAACTGCTTCCTGGCACTCCAAAAAGTATATGAGTATAAACTTCTTCTTAATCCTCCGACCGGTATAAGAGGTTAAACTGTTTCCTGACACTCCAAAGAGTATATGAGTATAAACTGCTTCTTAATCCTCCGACCGGTATAAGAGGTTAAACTGCTTCCTGACACTCCAACAGGTATATGAGTCTAAACTATTTCCTTTCTTTCACGGGAAATTCCTGGAGAATTTTATGCGTAATATTCTTAAGGATAACCCGATCATGCAACCAAATGCAATAATAAACCCAGTTTCGCGAGGAAGCTGGGGGTGGATGACTCATGTAACGGGAAGTTCCCGAAAGAATACTATATGTAATTTTCTTAGGGATAACCCAATCATTATAAATTAGGTGATAAGCACTAAACCCCCATTGTGATTTGTATGAGTCAACACTCCCGTTGTAAGTTGTACTCTCACTCTCACCTCTCACTTGGTCAAACTTTCCTATAGTTAGGGCCACAACCCAAAATCCCCTCTCGATTCCTTCAATGAACGAGAGGCCCACAAATCAAGCGATCAAACCTATAAAAGGTAAGATCGTCTCAAACCTCCCATTCCCAATGCTCCCTTGGTCAAACCTATAAAAGTTAGGGCCAAAGCCAGATTCCCCTCTCAATTCCTTCCATGAACGAGAGTTCCACTTTCAATTTGAGCAATCAAACCTATAAAAGTTAGGGTTGCTTGAATCTTTTCGATTCTCGGAGTGGAGATCCCACTTCTAGTTTCACTTTTCTGGATTCTGGGGGTGGAGATCCCACCCCGAGTCTCCTTTGCATCTAAAGATAGAATATAAAATTCTTCTTCTTCGGCTTTAGGAGATAGAATATAAAATTCTTCCTCTCCCGCATCGGGTTCGTCTTTGCCCTAAGAAAAGACACCACATTTTTAACCCTCAAAATCCGTGCCTCACAGGTACGGGGAATTTTATCCCGAATCCTAAGTAGGGATAAGTCAACGCCTAACACGCGTTGCCAGTTTAGTCTTTCACCGATTGAAGAAGACACCAGAATTCCAGTCTGGGGAATTTCATCCCGAAGCCTAAGGAGGGATGAGTCAGCGCCTAATACGCGTTGCCGGTTAGTCTTTGACCGTAAAAAGGACAAAAGACCACATATTCAACATTGTAACAGGTTGTTATTAATAACACCATAATCCGTGCCTCACACGCACGGGGAATTTTATCCCGAATCCTAAGTAGGGATAAGTCAACGCCTAACACGCATTGCCGGTTTAGTCTTTCACCGAGTGAAAAAGACACCAGAGTATAATTCTGGAGACTTTCATCCCGAATCCTAAGTAGGGATGAGTCAACACCTAACACGTGTTGCCGGATAGCCTATTCCCGTAATAGGGGCGAAGCCTATGTATTCGAAATCATGGCACCAAGTCTCAGAGAATTCACTCTCTTAGCACAACGTTACACGCGGAACGGATTCAGACAATCCGCGTGCTAGCCCGATTCAAACGGTAATCGGTAATGGTACATCAAACCCGTTGAAGGCTAGGGGTTTACCAAAAATCCCAAAGTCTATGTCTAACACACATTGCCGGTTTAGTCTTTCGCCGATTGAAAAAGACACCAGGGTCTAAACCTGGGGAATTTTATCCCGAAACCTAAGAAGGGATAAGTCATCGCCTAATACGCGGAATTTTATCCCGAAACCTAAGAAGGGATAAGTCATCGCCTAATACGCGGTGCGGGGTACCTTTTCCCCATAAGAAATGGTTAAGTCTATGTATTCGAAATCATAACATCAAGTCTAAGAAAAGCGATTTTCTTAGCACAACGTTACATGTGAGACGGGTTTTAATAACTCACATGCTAGCCCGATTCAAACGGTAATCGGTAAAGGCATATCAAACCCGTTGATGGCTGGGGGGTTTGCCAAAAATCCTGTAAATTTTATCATCGTTGAATTCAAAGTAAATAAAGAAATATCATGAAAGAAGCAAATGCAGAGTCTCTAGTAATAGATCAAGTCAAAAGCATATAATAAAAAGCTCGTTAGCCCGAAGGCAACTGACGGCTAAGAACACGGAACTCTAAACTAGAAAGTCTGTCTACATAGATCTGCTCAAGTTCTGCCTGCAGACTAGCTCGGACAAAGTCTTCGGAACTGCTTAAGATCTTCGCGGCTTCATTCTTCAGCTTCACCAATCTCTCCTGTGTAGATCCCAGCTTCTCGAGCGTCTGTTCACGAGAACGCTCTAATCCAGCCAGGTCTTCTGCAATAAGAGTAACGGACTCCTCGGCGTGCCTCAAGGCCTCCTTCAATCTAGCCACTTCCTCACGGCCGGAATCCAAAGAGCTGAGTAACTCGGCTCTACCTGTATCCTTCCTCGCCACGGTAGCCATCAGCTGCGCAACAGAATGCTCATGTGATCGAAGCTCGCTGCCACCAAGTCCGAAACCTCGACCCCCGCGAAGGAGGGTGTCGGCCCTTCCCGAATGACCCGCGAAGGGGCCAAACGAGGGTATGACAAAACCACCAAGTCCGAAACCTCGACCCCCGCGAAGGAGGGTGTCGGCCCTTCCCGAATGACCCGCGAAGGGGCCAAACGAGGGTATGACAAAACCACCAAGTCCGAAACCTCGACCCCCGCGAAGGAGGGTGTCGGCCCTTCCCGAATGACCCGCGAAGGGGCCAAACGAGGGTATGACAAAATCACCAAGTCCGAAACCTCGACCCCCGCGAAGGAGGGTGTCGGCCCTTCCCGAATGACCCGCGAAGGGGCCAAACGAGGGTATAACAGAACCACCAAGTCCGAAACCTCGACCCCCGCGAAGGAGGGTGTCGGTTCTTCCTTCATGACCCGCGAAGGGATCAATCGGGGATACAAAAATAAGAAAAAATTCCCACCCCCAAAAAAGGAAGCCGCTGGAGGGGAGGATGCTGTAGGAACTTCTTCCTCGCTAGGCTGCGGACAGGAGCGACTCCTTGGAGGTCGAGGTCGACGTGGAGACATCGAAAATCTGCAATGAAAAGCAGTAAGTTAGGTACAATATGAATACGCGAAATTTAAAAGGGAAATTAAGAACTTTAATTAAAATCCTATGTATAAATAGGATTTTATAGTTGAAGTCTAATTAAACCTACAAATTTCGTGCATGCGAAACAATAATTGTCATTTTCGCGATAAATTTTGATGAAATACCCAAAATACCTCTCGTGTTCAAGGCTAAATTCGGGTCAAGAACACGCTCGAGTTGGGTCATGGTCATCATATCTGATCATATAGCACCCCCAATACCTCACACCCACAATTTTGGGTTAATCTTGCAAATAAACCCTTTTGTAAAATCTAGCCAATTTTGCAAAAAAAACCCTCCACAAATTTCGGTTTGGTTTTCGCAAAACTTTGATCGTAGTTTTGTGGTCTAAACTTCTTGGTTTTCAGCCTTGGATTTTCTTCCCTTTTTGCAAATAAGTAGTTCTAAAACATTTATGGGCAATTTTGCAAATAAACCCTCAACAATTTGTGATCTCTTTGCATGAAACACACATCAAAGTTGTGGCCAATTGTGTCAAACATCCAAGCCTCAAAATTCCAGCCCTTTTGCAAATAAGCCCCCCTATACTTTGTGGATGGCTCTTTTGCAAATAACCCCCTCAAATGGTAGCCCTCTTTTGCAAATAACCCCTTCAAGTTTCGGCCTCATTTTTTGCAAATATACCCTTCAAATTTTAGCCATATATTCGCACAAAAGCCCTCCAAAATTTCGGCCTCAAAATTTGCACATAAACCCTCCAAAATTTCGGCCTCAAAATTTGCACATAAACCCAACAAAATTTCGGCCTCAAAATTTGCACATAAACCCACCAAAATTTCGTCCTCAAAATTTGCACATAAACCCTCCAAAATTTCAGTCTCAAATTTACACACAAACCCCCAAAATTTCAGCCCTAATTTCGGCCAAATACCCTCTCAAATTCCCCGAATTTTGCACACAATCCATCTCCCAAATTTCGGCCATATGTATATGCATGAAATTAAGAATGTAGTGAAATCAAAGGTGAGGGAATACATATCCTAATTTTCGGCCAACTTTCAAGAATCAAAAATCAAGATTTAATTTTTCCCCAAATCCAAAATTAGGGTTTTGAAATTTGGAGGATTCAAGAGAAAAGAATCAATCTAAAGCATGAAGGAAAGAAGATCTTACCAAAGCTTGGAGAATCCTTGAAGAGGAGACTTTGTTGTTGATGAAGATCCTCCAAACCCAACTTTCTTTGCTTGAAGCTTTGGAGAGGATGAGGGAAAGATGAAGCTTTGAAGAGTTTAGAAGGCTTGAAGAAGAAGAGGATGAAGTCCTTGGAGAAGGAGAGCACAAAACCGAAGTTGAAGGGGGAAGTTCTCTGTTTTCAAAACCGAAAAAAAAATGAAGGGGAGTGCGGATTTTGCTTGCTGGGGACCGAACAAAAAAAAAGGAAAGAGAAAAAATGGGGACGGAACTTTGGAAACCGGAAACAGTAAGAAAAGAGAGAAAGAGGAGAATCGGTCTTTGAGGGGGATTTTAAGAGCCTGAACCGGTTTGAACCGGACCGGTCTGAACCGGACGGGTCTAAACCGAACTTCAAATCAATTCAAACCAACTCAAATCAATTTGAACCGGGCCGGGCCAATCCCAGCTTGTTGATTCGCATGCGTGTGAACCGCGAAATGTGGGTTCACGCATGTGGAAGGGTCCGGGGGTGATTCATATGCGTTTCGAACCACTTTTCGGATATGTTTCGATATATTCAACACTCGTATCTATACTCCAATGAGAATACGAGTTTAAACTATTTCTCACAATGGACGGGAAGTTCCTAGAGAATATTATGTATAATATTCTTAAGGATAACCCGTCAACCTCCGACGGGTACACGAGGCTAAACTAATTCCCGAAACTCCCAAGAGTACACGAGTATAAACTGGTTCTCCTCACGATCGATTCGAAACCCTAAGGTCAACGCCGGATCGCCCTAGCTCAACGCCGGTCAACGCGTTGCAATGAGAGTCAACGCTGATCGATTCGAAACCCTAAGGTCAACGCCAGATCAACGCGTAGCCCTAGGTCAACGCCGGTCAACGCGTTGCGATGAGAGTCAACGCTGATCGATTCGAAACCCTAAGGTCAACGCCGGTCCAACGCGTTGCGATGAGAATCAACGCTGATCGGTTCGAAACCTTAAGGTCAACGCCGGTCAACGCGTAACCCTAGGTCAACGCCCTTCAACGCGTTGCGACATTCGAAACCCCAGGGTCAACGCCGGTCAACGCGTAACCTTAGGTCAACGCCCTTCAACGCGTTGCGACATTCGAAACCCTAGGGTCAACGCCGATCATCGCGTAACCCTAGGTCAACGCCCTTCAACGCGTTGCGACATTCAAAACCCTAGGGTCAATGCCGGTCAACGTGTAACCCTAGGTCAACGCCAGTCAACGCGTTGCGACAAAAAGTCAATATTCGACGTTCGAAACCTTAGGGTCAACGTCGGTCAACGCGTAACCCTAGGTCAACGCCAGTCAACGCGTTGCGACAAAAAGTCAACATTCGACGTTCGAAACCCTAGGGTCAACGCCGGTCAACGCGTAACCCTAGGTCAACGCCAGTCAACGCGTTGCGGCAAAAAGTCAACATACAGTGATCACACAATGTGACGGAGGTAGTTCAAAGTCAACTCAATGACACGAGCCAAACTCAATCCATCAGCTGCAAACTCGAGACTCCAACGACGGCCAGACGATAAACGCAGCGCCGGAAGAACCTCGGCTATTCGTCAAAGCATCGAATAGACCGAAAATCGAAGGAGCCAAGAGTTGAAGCTAACTACAGGTCCTTTACGCCGACTGAAGGCTGGATCAATCACATCCAAAGTATTCTAGCCTCTTCTATAAAAGAAACGAGTCCGGAACGCTTTGGAGGGGGCATCGAAAATTGCCTATAGGTCTCCATGAACAGCTCAGTGTTAAGGAACGACAATGAACGTCACTATCTGGTTCACAGGAGTTCGATTGACGTCGGTGAACGCTTGAAGTGAATCGACGAACTACGTGAGCTGACAGAATTTCGGAATAACGAAGGCACAGGCTAATCGAGAGCCCGTGATGTTTACAAAAAGAACAACGCCTTTCATGCCTCGTTCGTTCTACAGATAATCCAACCATCGGGGCTGATAGAATTCTTCGTCAGAATTCCAACGCAATTCGAATCACCATCCGTTCCTTAGCATTACCCCTCGTCGGTAATCCTAAGAAGAGCAAATATCTCGCTTTATCCGAGATTGGCACTCCAAGTTTCTAGATCTCCTCGCGGATCGACGAAGCTCTGCCCGATTCTTCTGGATCAGATCTGATTGCCAGGTAGTCCACGGATATCGACGTCCCCGTCACAGGCTAAAGACCCACGCAAGTAAGAGACGATAAACGGATCTTGTGTTTATTTTCAAGAAAGTTGTAATTTTTATTTTCGTTATTTGAATTCATTTGTAACGTTTGAAGTTTTAATGAAATCAATGATGAAGGCAACTTTTGACGAAAACATGGGGGTGTAAAGCCTTGTTGGCATTCTCAGGATAAATTATTGTTGCCTTTGAGCGATCCAAGGTTATGTCAGGAGTCACACGTTTAGAACCACCCCCTTGTGGGTGCGGAGTCTTAACGGGCTCTGAATGCTGATTTTGCATAACTCCAGACTTTGGAATCCAAACTTTGCAGAGTTTTGGTGGTTCTTTGGCCACCGTTTCCTTGTTTCCTTCTCGTCTTTATTGCAAGAGAGCATGGGCATGAGTGGTTATTTGCACAATTTTTTTGTATACGTTCTTTGAGGGTCGAGCGAGCCCTTTTGACAAGAGTCCATTCATCCGTCGTTAGTTTAGTAGAGATATGAGTGATTGGTCGTTGAGACAACTGAACCACTCGATGCCTCCTCGACTCTAAGTTCGTGTGATAACGAACTTCGTCGGTTTGTTCTAAGGCCTTAGCCATTTGGCGAGCGCGGTGCTGACGTTGTCTCTGATGAGCCCTCTTCGTTAGTGCCGGGGAGCTTTGATTCAATGACTCTTTAATTGGAGAAGAGTCATTATTAGCAGAGAGGTTGCGAGTAGAATCCTCAGCAATAATCAAGCGAGAGTCTTCATCTGTAGTGTTCGACAGAGTCGAAAACTTAAAAACCTTCTTAGAAGATGAAATCTTCCTACATTTGTGAGGCGAGGAAGACTTTGAGGATGGGGATGACAGATATTCCTCAAACTTTGCTTGGTCGAATTCATATTCAACCATGGACTCAACCAGTATCTTGATCGGCTGCGACACGACAGTCTCGACAGCGAGATCGTTAGCTCCCACTGTGGTCGCCAGTTTGTTTTCGTCAAAAGTTAGTTTTGTTATGGAATTCATTATATCTTCGGTCGATTACAAAAAATTCAAAAGAGATAGTCTTTTTATAAAACTTCTTTTACACAACAAAATAAAAATTACAATTCTTGAGAAAATAACACAAAAATCGTCTATCGATTCTTGTTTTGTGGGACTTTGCCTGTGCCGGGAGTGCTTTGACTCGTGGACCGCCAAATCACAGATCGTGAAGGGGGCTTTGTGATTCTTCCATCGTTTATCAAAGTGAGAATTTGAAACGAAGATCTTATCAAAGTAAGACAATCGTTCTTCTTAAGATCAAGTTGAAGCTCGAATCTCAAGGAATCACACCAAGAACTCAAGTCTGCTCTCTCTGCTCTGGATTGCTCGATAAAATGCTCGATGATCAGCCCCTTCAAAAAAATGATCTCAGGGGGGTATTTATAGCCCCTGGACGAATAGTGCTTCCGAGACAGTGTTTGCTGTCTCGGCGGCCGGCGGCCGAGACAGTAAAGACTATCTCGGAAAACTCCAAACTGCCTGATGGCTTCATAATAACTGCCTTCCCACGTTCAAACTCCGTTATTTCGACAGTTATCCACGTGATTCTCGCCCACGACGTTTCCCATGTTCTTTGACAGTTAATGGACACGTGTCGGCGGTTATTCAAAACGGTTTCTGATCCTTCGAGAGC